GGGGTGGCTTGGGGAAGGGTAAGTAACAGAGAAAATTACAGGGGTGCTTCAGCATCGCAGCAATCAGAACAGGCTTTTGTCATGTCTAAAACACAAGTGGTGACGTCTGAACAGAAGACCAAACACTGGCCTCATAAACACAGTGCCATCGGTTAAAAGGCAATTTCCTCATATAAATCCAAATGACATCCTTCAGGAACCTTACTCATTACTGACAGAATAAATATGGAATCTTAAGCATTTTGGCATGGGATGAACCTTAGAAATGGTCTAGTTCATGCTCCTTATTTTGCAAACTGGAAATGGTGGCCCGGAGAGGGTCCTGGGACTCGCCGAAAGTTGCGCAGCCCACAGTGCTGACACCAGCACGAAGTGCCCAGCCTCCAACTCCTGGTCCAACTTCCCTTCCCCTTCCACACCACTTCATGGGCAATGCAGTCGGCAGACTGTTCAGCCTGTGACACTGTGTATTACATGCCTTTTGTATTTTATTATATTCTAACATACTGGAATACATATGTTTAGAAACATGGGCTGGAGTACATTTTAAGCTTTCACTCTTTTCTTCCAGTCCAGACTGTCTCAAGGGGGCGTTTTTATCTTTTATAAAAATGGTTAAATATTACTGATATGCTAAGGACAGTCCAATTACTTCATCACAAGTTGGAATTATCTTTTTTTTTTTTTACTCCGTCTCAAAAAATAAATAAAAAATAAATAAATAAAAAAGCAAGCAGTAGGCTGGGGTGGGTGGCTACGCCTGTAATCCCAGCAGTTTGGGAGGCCTAGCGGCGTGGATCACCTGAGGTCAGGAGTTTGAGACCAGCCTGTCCAACATGGTGAAACTCCTGTCTCTACTAAAAATACAAAAATAGCTGGGCGTGGTGGCGCATGCCTGTAATGGCAGCTACAAAGGAAGCTGAGACTGGAGAATCGCTTGAACCCGGGAGGCGGAGGTCTGCAATGAGCGGAGACTGTCATTGCCACTCCAGCCTGGACAAGAGCGAAACTCTGTCTCAAAAAAAAAAAAAAAAAAAAAAAAAAAGGAAGAAAAAAAAGCAGCAGGTAAGTACTAACCTGTTATCATGAGAATTTTTCCCACCACTGTAGGAATGCAAATTAAGATGAAACTTTATTACTCTTTTTATTGCCTTTAAAGCAGTTATCAGAAATTGCAAAAACATACTGTTTTTGAGGACATATATGCTGTTGTCACAGGTATTGGATTTTTTCCCTCCTCAATTCAGTAAACATTTATTATAAATTATTTATAAAACATTATTACCTACTGTGTGTGGGCACAGTGCCACCACTATTGAGGACAGCAAAAATAATTAAGATCCAGTCCCACCTCTCAGGAGATTCATTTGCAATCTGATGAGAGAGTCGACTGGCACAAAACAGATCAAAATATAAGTACTACATAGTACTGGGAATAGCTACCCATCCAGCGGAGGGAGGAAGAAGGCATAGGCCCTGTAGGTCCCAACTACTTGGGAGGTTGCAGTGAGCTGAGATCGCACCACTGCCCTCCAGGCCTGGGTGACAGAGCGGACTCCAGCCTGGGTGACAGAGCCAGACTCCATCTCAAAAAAAAGGGCCGGGCGTGGAGGCTCATGCCGTTAATCCCAGCACTTTGGCATGCGGCCGTCAGGGGGTGGCGGATCACGGAGGTCAGGAGATCGAGACCATGCTTGGCTAAACGGTGAAACTCCTGTCTCTACTACAAACAAACAAACAAAAAACATTAGCCGGGACGTGC